CAAAGAATTATTTAAGGTATAAGAAACAAAGAGAGAGAGAAGAGAGAGAGAGAGAGAGAGGGAGACAGAGAATGAAAGAGAAAAAAAATTATTTTAATAATAATTTCTTCTAAATTTTTGTTCATCAATTTATTTATTTTTTCTTATTTAAGCAAGATGGTGCAGGTGAATTACTAAGGCATCCATCACTGGAAAGTGTCACCAGTCATCGATCATCAATGAGTTCTTCCAGTAAAGGAAGTAAAACGGATAAAAGTAGTTTGAATAGTTTTGGAAAACAAGGCAAAAAAAGTTGGGTAAGTGATAATAGAAAAGAATTTCTGGAGAAAATTTTCAAATTTTATAATTTTTAAATAGAAATTTGAAAATATTTCATTTATAAATATTATGATTTTTTTTTTTTTTTTTGTCACATGTTGTCATAATTTTTTATTCTGCACGTTGCAACTAATATAATTTTCTTTTCATTCTTCCAACTTTTATATTCATTAATTCGAATAACTGTATCAAATACAAGTGATATATTACTTGAAATTATTAATTCGAATATTAAAAGTGCGTTTTAAAAAAAAAAACGAGTTATGATATTGTGGAATTATAATAAAAAATTAGTTATGAAATTATGATATAATTAAATTTGAAATGAAATACTGCTTTTCGATTTACTAAGTTACGGATTGATCATAATTGCTTAAATAATTCAAGTTACCGCTTGCTTAAATAATCTAATTTTTTTAATCATTTTATACAGACAGCAAGCGTTGATTGTCAGGTAATTGTTTATTAATTATTTTATAATTAGAGATTGGTTGTTCTTTTTTCCAAATTATTTCCATATCTTTGGTATACTTTTTTTTTTTTTTTGAAATTCTAAGGAACAATTGGCGTAAATAATTGTATTACTTTTCGTTATTTGTTTACTTGTTTACTTTGCATGTCTGTTTATATGAATGTTGTTGTTGTTGTTGTTGTTTTGCCATGTTATTTGTTCTATTGATGACTCATTTGTTGTTTTACCATATTGTTTGTTCTATTGATGACTCATTTGTCTGTAACTTTAATATTGTTTTTATTCGTTGAAACAAACTTCCATTAATATTTGCATAATTTTTTAGATAAGAAATTCATTCTCAAAATTCACTAAAAGCAAGAAAGCAAAAAGTTGTTCGGCATCAGATGCTGAACATTCACCGATGCATACATCCGGTTCACCATCAAACCTGAAGCCAATTTCGGGAAGTGTTAACAGGTTGATTTTCAGAATTTTGTTTTGTAATTTAAGGTGAACAGTGATTCTATACATGATAAATTTGATTTAACAAAAGAAAGCTAACTTGAAGATCCTATTCACACGTAATTTCAGGTTAGACGAACTAGAAACAGTACCGCAAGTGGTGGAACTTAAAAAACAGCTAGAAGATAAGGATTCAGCATTGACTGACGTACGTTTGGATGCACTTGATAAAGCACGTGAGGTTGATATTCTCAAGGAAACGATTAATAGATTGAAAGTGAGAATTTTTTTTTCCCCTTCTTTCCAACATCCAGTTTTAGATATACATTCTCGAAGTAACAGAAACAATTTTGTGAGTTGAACCGCAAAGGTAAGATATAGAACCGGATATGTTGTAACCGGAAAAAAAAATAACACTTTATTGGCATTGAATAAGATACGAAAATTAATTTCTTGGTAAAAATTCGAAAAAGTTGGTTAATTTTTTTTTGCAGAATGAAAACAAAATCCTGAAACAAAATTATACAATGTTGGAAAGGCGAATAAGAGCTGAAAGTCGAACCAGTTCACAACAATCATTACCAACTTTACCGGATGAAGATCCTGTTTATGAAATACCGGCAAATAATGAACGATGTTTAACTGGAAGTAAGTTTTAAATGTAGATAGAATTCATCATTTTATTCCTGTTATTACTCAAATTAACTCTAGATTATTACAAATTTTCCGATATTTATGATTTTAATTTCATTACTGGTTGATGTTATTTGATACAAAAAACCAAAATACTGAAATTTCATATTGAAATCAATGGATTTCGATTTTTCCGATATTTCATTTATATATTCAAATTGAGCTTTTGTTTGCTTATTTATTTAATGAATATTTCAGGAGGAACAAATTATTTGAAAGTAACAGTAAGCGTCGATTTTAGTGGTTTATTACGACCACGATCGTTAGCTGGTGAAGTATCAATTGGTTTTACATCATTACCATCTTTAACTACCACTTGGGAAAATTTTGATGCTGAGCTTTTCAAACTTTTCGATGTTAGTAGAATTTTTATTTTTCATTCTACTTTAAAAATTATTAAATTTTAAGAATTTATTTCACAATTACAATAGATCATGTTTAATATTTAATCCAGTATTTGGTAATAGAAATTATATATGATTGTAATTTTCATACATTTTAATTAGCATAATTATCTTAATTGAAATAATCAAATTATTTCATTGCAATATCTATGATCAATTGGCTCAATTATTATTTTGTTTACTTAAACTATTTTTAAAATATTACTAATTTATACGCTTTTAGGATTATATGGCAAAAATTGATGCAAATCGAGCATTAGAATTAAATAGCCAAGAATCAATAATTGGATATGAATTTGGTGATTTTATCCGAGATATAGAAACTAATTCTGCACCATCACCTATACCAGCTGATGTGCTTACACATAATCATGATATTCGCATCTATTTAAGAGGTAATTTTAATTCATCGATCAAATTATCTAGCCAATTAATTGGAACTACAACAGATGAGTAAATAAGTATTCGAGTAAATTGCTTATTGCAACTAAAATCAAATAGATTTTAAATGCTGAATTTCGATTATGTTTAAACTTGAAATACAATATATGATATGAGCCAGAAATGATAATGAGCCAGAAATAAAGTATCATATTTGATAGAGAGTTTGTATATCTATGTGTAATAAGTATTGGAATCATTATGAATAAATTTATCTCTTGTATCATGATTATTTAGAATATGATTATTTTATCATGATTATTTTCGTGATGATAAACTTTACATTT